TTAAGCATCGGAATGACCCGAATGATTCTAAAAAGTGACGGGAACTATTTGAGAGAGATTCGGGAGAGATTTCGCATACTTGGAGAGATTTGGGAGAGATTTGACATTCTTGGAGAGATTTCTCATACAAAGAGATATTTGCGAGAGTTTTCACATACTTAGAGGGATTTGGGAGAGATTTGACATTCTTGGAGAGATTTCTAATACAGAGAGATATTTGAGAGAGATTTCGCATACTTAGAGAGATTTGGGAGAGATTTGACATTCTTGGAGAGATTTCTCATACAAAGAGATATTTGCGAGAGTTTTCACATACTTAGAGGGATTTGGGAGAGGTTTGACATAGAGAGAGATAGTGTGGAAACGATTGAGAGAGGTTCCATGTGGGATAGTTGTGAGTGTCCGGCATCGAAATGTATGGTTCGTGAACCCTGTTAAGCCTTGTTTAAGGATCTTACACACTCCCGATGAGTATGCAACATTGTTTTATCGATCTAGTTCATTGATTAGAACTAGGGTTTAGGAAATTTTTAACACAAGACTTTTCTCAAGTGATGTTTTCCCATTAATATAGCAAGTTATACAGTATGAACATAACACAAACCCTAATACACAAGGTTTAATCGAGTTGACCGGTCTTGACTTGATGATTTGACTTGACTCAAGATTGACGATTGTCACAATTAGGGATCGGAAGGTCAAGGTTTTGAGGAACAAGGAGGTGCCTCTGGTTCAGGTCCAGTAGCAGCATCGGAAGGGGTCAGAGTTAACGCGGGAACCAGAGCGTGAGATGTGGGAGCAGCATCCAGAGTTGTTTGCAGAATGAGACTTCGAGGGCGAAGTCTGATTCTAGTGGGGGAGAATTGTAACATCCGGGTTCCCAGGTATCCTAATTTATTCTTTTATTTTTGGGAATTGTGAGGAGACTCGGCGAGTTAGCATCTAAACTCGCCGAGTATGGTCGCGGATTCGTATGCGAGTTCACAGATGGACTCGGCGAGTTCATGAGTGGACTCGGCAAGTACACGCTGTTTAATGAAACCCTAATTTCCAGGCTTTGAGACCTATTTAAAGGCCCTTAGGGCCGTCATTTGCAGCCACCAACCCCCAGAGAGAAACCCTAAGAGATCTAGAGCGTTTGTGAGGAAGAAGAGGTCATTCTTGATCATTTTGTGGGTGTTTTTGCAAGAAGGAGGTGACCAAGGCAAGAGGAGGCTGAAGGAGGAGCGATTGTGGTGAGTTCTGAGTTCTTAGAGATCATATTGAGGTATTTTGCTCGGACCTTCTTCATTTTTTATGTTGATTCTTAGTGTTAGGGTTTTCTAACCCTTTTAGAGGATGAATAAGTGGAGCATTTGGTCCCTTCTCGAGTCTATGTTCTGGATCTGGACCCAAAGAGGTCCAGACACCTTAACCCTTGGAGCTTTATCAGGTATTTTGGGAGCCATGAGCTTGGGATGTCATTTTTGGGGCTAAATCACCACGTTAGACCATTTAGATGTTATATGAGTGTCAAGGTCTGAACTTTACGTGATTATCATGCTTGGGAAGGCCAGATCTATGAATGTATGGAACAGATCTGACCCCTATGGAGTTTGTGCATGGCATGAACTCGGCGAGTAGGATGAGTGTAACGTCACAAAATTTCCAACCAAAAATTTTCATTTTTACAACCATCAAAACATGAGTAATAAGTTTAGATTCCAAAGTAACAATGTAGTCACAACCGATTACATAACAAAAGATAACAAAATAGTTTCCCCGAGTGTGTGTACGGTCACCCTGGCGCCTTCCCACGGTCCTCACTAGTACCTGAAACACATAATGCAAAAACTGTAAGCATAAAGCTTAGTGAGTTCCCAAAATACAACATACGCACATACGCCTTTCCAGGCCTTGACCTTCCGGCCCATGTGTCTCAGGGGACTTCCGTCCCGACTGGGTAAACCTTCCGGTCCTACCCACGTCAACCCTTACAGTCCATATGACCATGCCTTCCAGCCCATATCATGTTGCCTTCCGACCCAAATCAAACATATCATACATGACACATATAACAAATAACTTAACACACATAAGGCATATGTTTCATATCATATTCGACCTTCCGGTCACACAGTCAAAACCCTTCCGGGTACAGTATAGTGAGAAGACTCACCTCGAATGCCTCGCTAAGTCGCTAATCGTGAATCCTGAAATCACTCGGGCTCGAACCCTCGAGCTGCAATCCTCCTATGATATTATAAATCTATAATTATTACTTGTACCACAAAGGTGGGCCATCCTTATCAAGTCAACACAGGTTGACTTGGTCAATCGTCTTAAATCAATTTGGACCGGACTCGGCGAGTGCACACTAGTGACTCGGCGAGTCTACGCATTTTAATCAACTATCAGGGTTATTCCCCTTTGACTCGTCGAGTACTCCCCCGACTCGACGAGTTCCCCCTGGGCTTGAATCACAGGGCCACCGCGACTCAACTCGCCGAGTCGAAGGTCAACTCGGCGAGTCCCAACCTGACTCGGTCCACCTGTCAAAACCTTTCCAACTCTCTGCGACTCACTGAGTCGCCCACAACTCGGTCCGGACTACACACAGGATGGTCTCAAAGACAATCTTCAAGCAACTCGTCGAGTTTGTTCTTCAGACTCGGCGAGTCCATGCCATGCACCAGCTAAAACTGGCTTTTGCGGTCAGATCCGTTCCATACATACATAGATCTGGCCTTCCCAAGCTTATTTGTCACGTAAAGTCTCGGTCTTGGTTGCCATGCAATGCATACAAGGCTTATTTTGAAGAAACAACCTCTAATATGGCAAGTTTAGCTTCTAACTCAAAAGAATGGACATAAAGCTTGTCATAAGGGGTCTCCTGGACCTGCTAAAGTCCAGATCTAGGTTCCATATCTCCATGGGACCTCTCATACTTCTTATTCAAGCCAAGAAATGCAAGAAGAAACCCTAGATTTGGCACATCAACACAAAACACGAAGTTTGGCTCTGAAAATTACCTCAAGAAGACTCCCTTGATGAAATAGCAACAGATCTAAGCTCCCCAACACTTCAAGCTTGCTCCTCTCCTTCCTTTCCTTGCAATATCACACAAAATGATGAACAAATGGCCTTCAAACACACTCACAAGGGCTTACAGACGTATGGAGGCTCTTAGGGTTCAAGGTGGCCGCAAATGAGGGCCATAAGGTCCTTTAAATAGGGCTTAGGACCGGGAAATTAGGGTTTCATTAAACAGCGCGGACTCGCCGAGTCCATCCCTTGGACTCGCCGAGTCCGGACGCGAACCCCCGCCCAAAACCGCGACCCGACTCGGCGAGTTCGACCTCCAACTCGCCGAGTCCCCTCATAGAATGTCAAAAATATATGAAATGAAGATACCTGGGGATCCGGGCTGTTACAATGAGGGTTTCCCGTAAATCACTCAGTGCGTGGACTTGCCGAGTTGGGAAAATAACTCGGTGAGTCAGGGAGAGTCAGGGGCATTGGAATTCAAGGCGGGACTCGCCGAGTTGTTCTTGAGACTCTGCGAGTTGAGTTGGGGTGGACCCGCGATTCATGCCAGGTGGAACTCGTCGAGTCAGGGGAAGTACTCGACGTGCCAAGAGAGGGACTAAGAGAATCATTGGACACGTGTAGACTTGCCGAGTCACCCTAGTGCACTCGACGAGTCGGGTCAAAGTTTGACCGTTGACCTTGTTGACTTTTAGGGTTGAGTACAATTGTATTTATGAGAGTATTACTTTATGTGATTAGGCGGAGGCTAGATCATATTTCTTCCGAATCAGATATTTACCGAGACACTGAGGTGAGTCTTCTCACTATACGTTACCTAGAGTGGTATTATGCGATGACCAGAGGGTCTTATGTGTTATGTATGAGATTATGTGCTATATGATATATGTATGTTGTATGATGATATAGGCCGGACCGGAGGGTCCAACGAGCTATGACCGGACCAGAGGGTCCAACGAGCTACGGGACTGGAGGGTCCTGCTGAGACACATCGACCGGAGGGTCGCATTATAGCCTTGAGTGGCGTATGTGTTGTATGCGGTATTTTGGGGAACTCATTAAGCATTTATGCTTACAGTTGTTGTGTTATGTGTTTCAGGTACCAGTGATGAGCGCGGGAAGGCATCGGCATGATTCGTACACACACATTGGAGTTTATATATATTCTAATCTTGGGGTTTTGTATTGATACAATGTTGACACAATGTTTTTAAAATGAATATGAGTGATATTTTATGGTTTTCAAAAGTGAAAAATTGTTTCAAATTTTTACGGTGTTACAAAAATACCCTTCTTCTGAGGGACACATGAGGAGAATTAACGGAGCAACCAAAATGGTAACTAAGATAGAAATTAAACGTGTTATCCAAACATGCAATAGATACGATGTTGACAAAATCGAAAACTAGAACTAAAACTGCAAAATTATACAAACCATATGTAATTCACTCTATTTTTATCAATGTTCAATTATTGATATATTAGGTTGAACGGTGTGGTGGTGTTTTTGCATACCAAAATTTGGTGACACACACCATATAAGTTTTTATCATTTTTGTCAATGTTTTGCCAATGATTATGATTTGATGCCATATTTGCTAGTATGTTTCTAAAACATAAGTATTTACTATCACTTTTATATATTTTCCTAATACATAAAAGTACACACCTTTTGTAGCTTCTTAATGCACAAAAATTGTTTCATCGGCAATAATAGAGAGAAAACGACACTATGTCATTCGCATATTGCCGCCAGCGAAAAATAGAGAAGGGAAGTTTTGTCGCCGGCAATATAGCCACCTAGGATGCCGACCGCAGAACAGCCTACGTAAAATTATAAGTATTTATTCGTTCTTTCATTTACAATTTAAAGATATTCCTTTTCTACTTTAAATATTTATGAACTGCAATTCCCCACGTTTGAACTTTGAAGTGTCATCTGTGTAATGAAATAACCGCCGCCGGTCATTAGTATGCGCCACCGTTTCCCAACCCCACCACATTTGAAACGCCTCCACCACCAGCTGTCAACCTTCTTCTCAACCGCTGCTCACGTATTCGAAAAATGCAGCTCCGTAAACAAAGTCAAGCTTCTTCACCAACAACTCACAGTGAAAGGCCTTGCAGCCTCAGACCCTACGGCATTACCAAAAATCGTGGGTATGTACATCTCCTGCGACGCCCCATCACACGCCCTTGTTACCCTCTCTCGTATACCGCCATCGCCGTCGTCTGTCTTCTGGTGGAACTCTCTTATTCGACGTGCAGTTCGTCTCCGTTTACTCGACCACGCTCTCGAGCTTTATCACTGTATGCAGTCCCTTGGTTGGCGTCCTGATGGGTACACTTTCCCTTTTGTTCTCAAGGCCTGCGGAGAGCTCCCGTCTTTCCGCCGTGGCGCGTCATTTCACGGAGCTGTTTGTATCCTTGGGTACGAGCATAATGTGTTTGTGGGTAACGCGTTGGTGGCAATGTATGGTCGGTGCGGTGATTTGGATAGCGCCCGCCAGGTGTTCGATGAAATGATTCTTAACAAAATTACAGACGTCATCTCCTGGAACTCAATCGTTGCAGCTTATATGCAGAGTGGTGATTCAAAAAAGGCACTCCATATGTTCTATCGAATGACAAAAGGAGAAAACCAGCTTCATGCCGATGCTGTTAGCCTGGTTAACATTCTTCCTGCTTTAGCTTCTGTTCAAGCATCGATTCAAGGGAAGGAGGCTCATGCCTACGCATTGAAAACCCAACTCATTAAAGATCTGTTCGTGGGTAATGCCATAGTTGACATGTATGCGAAATGTGGATTAATGGACGACGCAAACAAAGTCTTTGAGCAGATGGAATTGAAAGATGTAGTTTCTTGGAACGCCATGCTTACAGGACATTCCCAGATTGGTAGATTTGAAGATGCTCTTGGTTTAATTGAGAAGATGCGAGAAGAGAAGATTGAGTTAAATGTGGTGACATGGAGTGCTGTGATCTCCGGTTATGCTCAGAGAGGCCATGGTCATGAAGCTCTTGATATTTTCCGACAAATGGTATTTTCGGGTTCTGAACCCAATGTAGTCACTCTAGTCTCCCTACTTTCCGGCTGTGCAAGTGTTGGTTCATTACTTCAAGGTAAGGAGATTCATTGCCACGTCATCAAAAAGATTCTGAACATCAAGAACAACGACAATGGAGATGAACAAATGGTGATCAATTCTCTAATCGACATGTACGCCAAATGCAAAGCCATAGATCTTGCACGTAAGCTTTTCGATCCTGTCCTTCCTTTAAATCGAAACGTTGTCACGTGGACAGCCATGATTGGTGGGTATGCACAACACGGTGAAGCCAACGACGCATTGAAACTCTTCTCACAAATGGTTAATTACCAAAATACCCCCACAGCCCCAAACACAACCCCAAACGCCTTCACAATCTCATGTGCGTTAATGGCATGTGCTCGCCTTGCCAATCTAAGACACGGAAAACAAATACATGGTTACATCCTGCGAACCCAATTCCATTCCGATGTTTTATTCACCCACAATTGCCTCATCGACATGTACGTAAAATCCGGCGACCTCGACACCGCGCGTGTAGTTTTCAACACGATGGAACAAAAAAACACCGTCTCATGGACATCGTTAATGACCGGGTACGGAATGCACGGTTACGGCCGCGAAGCTCTCCGGCTCTTCGCCGGAATGAGAGATTCCGATTCCGGTCTCCGGATCGACGGTGTAACATTTTTAGTCATTCTCTACGCGTGTAGCCATTCCGGTCTTGTAAACGAAGGAATGGAGTGTTTCGATGCCATGACGAAGGAATTCAAGATTGTGCCCAGGGTGGAGCATTACGCGTGTATGGTTGATCTTTTCGGGCGGGCCGGGCAGTTGGAGAAAGCCATGGAGGTTATCAAAACGATGCCCGTGGAGCCCAGCCCGGTAGTGTGGGTTGCTTTACTTGGGTCGTGTAGGGTCCACACGAATGTGAAGCTAGCGGAATACGCGTGTGATAAGTTATTAGAATTAGGGTGTGAAAACGATGGGACGTATACACTGCTTTCGAATATATATGCGGACATGAAACGTTGGAAAGATGTTTCCAAGATTCGGTTTTTAATGAAAGGTTCTGGAATCAAGAAAAGACCAGGGTGGAGTTGTGTTCAAGGAAAGACGGGTTTGGTGACGTTTTATGTTGGGGATAAAGATCATGCGAGATCGGATGAGATTTATGATGTTCTTGGTGATTTGATTCATAGGATTAAAGAGCTTGGGTATGTTCCAGATACGAGTTTTGCTTTGCATGATGTGGATGATGAAGAGAAAGGTGATTTTTTGGTTGAACATAGTGAGAAATTGGCTCTTGCGTATGGGATATTGACCACGAGTTGTGGTCAACCGATTAGGATCACGAAAAATTTGAGGGTTTGTGGGGATTGTCATGTTGCGATGGTGTATATATCGAAGATTATTGATCATGAGATAATATTGAGGGATTCGAGTCGCTTTCATCATTTTAAGAACGGATTGTGTACTTGTAAAGGTTATTGGTGAAGAAATTGTAGTTGGTTATGGCGTGGTATACTTGCAAAATCAGTTAAAGGTTTAGTCTTAACTTTTGCTATGTGAGATTTTTAGTTATAGTTTTGGTGTAGATTGAGCTCTTCGTAAACACACGGTTTTATGCCATTATTTTTCTGATTTACATCTTGATGATGCTAAGACTAAATAGGGTCATCATGTGACATGTATTACTACATATTCAATGAAAATCCTCCAAAATCTTAAAAAAAGAAGATTCGATCAAATCCTTCAATTGCTAAGGGAAAAAAATTTAAAACATAGCTTATTTATTTAGATTTGTCGTCAATTTTTGTCTGTTTATACACTAAATTTGATTTCTTTGGTAAAGGTTTAGTAACAAATTAAAACATGGCTGTATAAACCGATAACAAATCCACTATGTTCTAATTTTTTATATAATCTTATATTTTTTTACTTGTAAAAAGATGATTAACCCAAATTTTAATTATAAAATAAACAAATTGAAGTACTTTGATGCATTATTTAAATACTAGTTTGAAATTGCCCAAGACTCTACCTAACTGACTTAAGCTCATTACAAAAAATAAATAAATAAATCAGTCATTCTAAAGTAAGAACATTGTATATCTTGTATAAAGTTCAGCTATCATCAAGTTGATGTATCTACAAAATGGTTATCCAACACACATAGTTATGTGATCATCTAGCTTGTTGGTGTAAGTGTTCAATATTCGCATTAAAACTAAAACTCCCACACTGCAACTAATAAGACTCAAATCTCACATCTTTCTATAAAGATACCACCAATGGGGCCTATGATGTAAATTAGGTATGACAAAAGTGCTCAATACCCACAAGTAGGTCGATCCATATTGGAACTGAAACTCTAATACTGCAACTGCTAAAACTCATCTCATCATGTGGCTATCCTATCATGATTCGTGAGCTCAAACCGGTATGGGACCAATGGGTTCATTTCATTAAGCCGATCCGCAGCCCATTTCCCAAGCCTCTCACATCCATACTCATAACACGCATCAAAAACCCTAATCAACATAGACACAGTCAAATCAAACGGCATTTCTTTAACAAACTTCTCAAGTTCACCAATGTACCCATACCTCCCATACAATTCAATCACCAACTCATAATGCTCCAACCGTGGTATAACACAATACTCACTACTCATTCCATCAAAACACTCCCTACCTAAATCAACCCTACCCTCACATACACAACCAAGCAAAACCCCTTGAAATGTGGTATTATCCGGTTTCAACCCTTCGTCTTTCATCATCTCAAATAGATCAAGAGCTAAATCACCCCTTGAATTGTGACAACATCCCAATATCATAGAGTTGTAAAGAAACAAATCCCGTGAACACGTTTCTTTAAAGACCACAAGTGCATAACTTAAACAACGACATTTTGAGTATGCATCAATCAAGGCTCCTTTTGTAACAATGTCGATAATGTAACCATTTCTAACTAAAAACCCGTGGATTTCTTTGGTTTGATGAAGGGCGAAAATATTCGCACACGCAGCTAAAATGGTTGCAAGAGTATGCTCATTTGGTGGGGTTTCTTCTAGCATCTTCCAAATGACTTTCATCACTTCTTCACTTCTTTGATGTCTTGCATGACTTGTCAAGATTGAATTCCAAGAAATGTTATCCCGAAAGTGGCTCATTTGATAAAACCATGATCTACAACTTCTCAAGTCTCCACATTTTCCATACATGTTAAGAAGGGCGTTGCTGATGAAAAGGTTAGAGTTGAAATGATGCCTATAGACATATCCGTGAACTTGTTTCCCTAATTCAAGGGATAAAAGGCCGGAACATGTGGTTAAGATTAACATGATTGTGACATGGTCGATGTTGATGTTTGATTTGGTTGTTAGATAGATGATTTCTAAGGCGGATTCCCATTTGTAATGGCGAGTGTAGCCATTTAACATAGCGTTCCATGATACGATGTTTCTTTCGGGCATTTCATCGAACAGTTTCCGTGCGTGTTTGGTTTGACCATTTGTGGCGTATGCTGTCACCATTGAAGTCCAGGTGATCAAGTTTTGTGCATTTGGCTGGTTAAAGATCTTGTAAGCACTATCGAGATCTCCATGTTTTGCATACATGTCAATGAGAGATCCTGAAACTACCAACGTGTTTACCAGGTTTGTTTTGATGGAAAAAGAATGGATTTGGAGAGCTTCATTGAAAGCAGAAATCTTTGAGCAAGCTAGAAGGGCATTCGAGACTGTATAAGCCAATGGCATAACATCATTCCTTCTGACCATTTCAAAAAACATAACTATTGCCTCTCTCTCTTTGCCCATGTCGTAATACCTCCTGATAATCACATTCCAAGAAACCTCATTTGGGTTACGAAGCTCATCAAACATTCTCTTCGCATCGCTCAAAAACCTGCATTTCCCATAAACATCGATAATGGAACTCGCGATAATCACATTCGCACAAAACCCATACTTTACGACTAGTCCGTGTATTCCCTTAGCAAAAGAAATTTCCAAAAGTGAACCGCAACACCCCAAAGCGTTAGCAAAACTAACCTCATTCCATGAAAACCCATCATCCTTCATATCCAAGAACAAACCCAATACCTCCTGCGCTAACCCATTAAGCTTATATGCTGAAATTAAAGCATTCCAGGACCCACCATCTCTCTGAGGCATTTCGTCGAATAGTTCCCTTGCATCTCTCAGACACTCGCATTTCCCATACACCTCAATCGCCCTGTTCAATAAGAAAACTGGTGGTGTTGGATTGTAGGTAATTAGATGGGATTCGACTTTACGGGCTTCTACGATGGCACGTCTCGAACCACATAGACTGAAGAGGGATGCGTATAGAGAGAAGTCGAAGGGGACTGTAGATTCATACAAGGTGAAAACTGCTTTGGAGAGGTTGTTGAGTTTTAGATAGGTAGAGATTTTGTTGGTTAAGGTTTTGACATTGGTTCCCATGGAAGATACAAAAGTGCCCTGAGAGCATTTGCAGATCAAAAGAGTCGTAGACTTTAGTATTAAGGTTTAAAATTTTGAGAAATTTACAAAAATAAACCAAATTTATAAAATAGCCTAATTTGTTAATGACTTAGCAAAAAAAACAGTAATAGTAATTTATTATTTATCTAAACACGGCCAACAAAACCAATTATCAGCTAACACGTCTGTGGTTTCGTCGTTTAATATGTAACTCGTCTATGGTTTCGTCAAATGGGATGTGGTTTTTGTATCCCACCCAACATATTTAAATCCTAAAAAAAATCGAACTCATTTTTCACGTTCATAGATGCATGAATTCTCTATCGATTGCTAAAGACATTCCGCAAAACAATGTTTCAACTAATGTTAGTATATAGTTTTTTTGTCATATACGCTAGAAATAAGAGGTAATGTGTATAAATTTTTCCTGGAAATCATAATGAAACCGTGGATGGCATAGGCATTTGTGATGGTACACTTCTTTAATGCACAAAATATACATCAATGACTTGTATATTCACCACGACATCAGGAAATAGTTGACAACTTGCGAAGAAAACACATGTCTATATGTCATCTACGATTTCTCGTCTTTGAAAATGAGCAAAGTGAAATTTTTTTATACATAGATAACATGAAATCGCAGATGAGATAACGCAACCGCAAACAAGTTGACGAAACCATAGGCATATTTACCTAATATGCGGTTTTTTTGGTTAATTTTGGATTAATTCTAACTTTTTGCTATTTTTTTGTTAATTTTTGATAAACCCTAGCTTTTTGCTATTTTTGACTAAGTCGCAAAAAATTAAGCTATTTTTTGTAAATCTCTTTAAATATTTTACACACTAATATCATCATAGCTTTTTTTATAGCTTGTTATTATTAACTTATCTATATTGAGCACTTATTGTCATTGAAATGCATTTTTTTTTTATCATTTTTATTGACCCCTCAATATCAATATATTTTAACCATTTGTACAAGTAACCCTTTTATATTCTAATCAAAATTTATTTTCTACATTAATTATATTTAAGTTTTAAATTTATTTATTTATTGACTAGTTAATTAATTCTATAAATTAACTAATAACATTTTAATCATAAATATAAATTTATAATGATAATGTTTATTAAAATGGTTTGTACTTAAGTATGATGCATGTTTAAAAATGACACATTTAAATGCAAGGTTTATATAAAACATTTTAAATAAATAAGGATAAATTAGTTAAATTTACCAAAAGAACTATGGAAAAGGGTAACCATTGGAGGGATCATTTAAATAGAGGTAAAAATTAATGAATGATAAGGTGACAATAGTAATAAGTCAATATATAAGTTAACCATTAGAGATGTTCTAACTTTTCTTTTTGAATCAGCAAATGCGATATATATATATACATACACACACACACACACACACACACACACACACACACACACACATATATATATATATATATATATATATAAAGAGAGAGAGCCAAGCCTAACAAAGTACTAAACTGGGGAGAATACAAGATGGAATGGAAATCAATTATAGATACATATTACATGCCTATAAAAGGATTAATAGTCTAATCTACCTAATTGAGACCACATTTGTTTCCCCTATGTTTGACCTACATGTAAGTTGTTGACTTAATAAAGTCATCAACTTTGGTGGGAAGCAGCCAATTATTATTGAATAATCTCTCATTTCTTGCCTTCCATATGCTCCAAAAAGTACCATAACAAATGTATTACAACCTTTTCTTCTTTTTATGGAAATTTCTCCAATGTGAGGCACAATCAAGGACGTTGTGAACTGATCTCGCATCTGCAACAGGAATATAACACCACCTAAATATCCACTCCATTACTTCTTTTGCAAATGGGCACCTGACCAGTACATGATCTGTTGTTTCCTCAGTTTCACAACATTGGCAACAAACGGTGGAACTTAAGTTGATTATACACCTAGAAATAGCCAATGCAGTTAGGATTCTGCCCATTTT